ACAATGGGGGCATTCACCTAGTAAGTCTAAGGTTTGTTTCAGCTCTAAGAAACCAGTATTCTGTCTCTTCGATGGGAGTTAAGAGGAAGTCAAACAGTATGAACTACACCACTACAGCGTCCCTGGTATAGAAGTGTGTAAGGACTTGGAAGGTAGTCATGAGGGAAGAGGCCAAATACTGGCTACAAAAACCCACACACTTGCTTCTTTCTCTGTTAAATAACTAGGATACCTTATATGAAAACTACAGGACCTATTTTACTATTTCAAGACACACATGCATCATTTATTTGATCATTTTTCTAACAACCATATGAAATGAAGATGGCAGGTGCACTGTGGATGTTCACGATGGGGCGGCCAAGACCAAGGAGTTAGGTCACTCCCTGGCCATGAAAAGTGGTTGGGGCTGTGAGCTGGGAGTCCTAAACCCAACTCGGCCTAACCACACCCTGAATCCAGAGCACAACACTTCCTTTTCTGAGCCACAGCTCCTTCGTCCATAAATGCAGACACCATTAAGCACCATAGATCACAGCCATGGTCTTCTGATGTCCAGTTTAAAAATATTTTGGGAAAGGGAGGTTGGTGTAAACTCTCAACCATGTCATTTCCAGGCCCAGGCCGCACTGGCACAATACGATTAGTTGTTAAAATACTGAAATGTTTGTATATGTTTACCTCCCAGTACATGGCCCTTGCCCTGCCTCTCCCAACCATCCCAGGATCCAGCAATCCAAGAGTTAAACCCTGGCACAGCAGGGAGCCTCCAGGTCCCTGCCCCTGCTGGGGGTGGGGGAGGGCACTTCTGTTCTAAAGGCCAGTTCCCAAAGCAAACTATACCAAACACTTAAACAATCACCCCCCACTGCTCTAAAGTCACACTGGGCTTCAGCAACAGCCCAAGGAAACCCCCACTGCTCTAGCTCAGAATCATTTCAAAACCTTCGTGATTCCAAGAGATGCGCTCCCACCCGAATGTGACCCTTCCTCAAGCCAGTGCTGATGAACAAGATGGCAGGTGATCAAAGTAAAGAGGTGTCTGGGGTGCCTGGGTGGCTCAGTCAGTTAACTGTCTGACTCTGGATTCGGGTTCAGGTCATGATCTCACGGCTCATGAGCTCGAGCTCAGTGTTGTGCTCTGCGTTGACAGCACAGGAGCCTGCTTGGGATTCTCTCTCTCCTCCCCAAATGTGTGCACACTATCAAAATAAACAAACTTTAAACACACACACAATGTGTTTTATAAATGTACACACATGGGGCGCCTGGGTGGCTCAGTCGGTTAGGCGGCCGACTTCGGCTCAGGTCATGATCTCGCGGTCCGTGGGTTCGAGCCCCGCATCGGGCTCTGGGCTGACAGCTCGGAGCCTGGAGCCTGTTTCGGATTCTGTGTCTCCCTCTCTCTGACCCTCCCCCGTTCATGCTCTGTCTCTGTCTCAAAAATAAACAAACATTAAAAAAAAATTAAAAAAAATAAATAAATGTACACACATATATGCACACATAAATCCACACATGTATGTGCATACTTTCTCTTATATGGTATATATTGGTTTATATCACATACTGTACGTGATCACTCGTGGGTGTGTTATAGTCTTTCATCATGCCGGTTAAAACTATTTTGGTACAAGTTCTCTTGTCCAAATTAAGTTTATTAATAAGATCGATGTAAGAAATATATACACTTTCATTTTCTAGATGTCTATGGGTGCAATTCGTGACCCGTAAAAGAACAAACAAAATACATCTGCATATGTGTATATACACACAGAAGTGTAAAATGAACTGGTTGCCAACCTGGCCACTAGCATCACCATGGGGTGGAGGCAGCCTGCAGGGTGTGAGCTGGTGGGGGAGAGGGTCAAAGGAGGGAGGGCAGGTGCTCAGAGACAGCAGAGAAAGAGAGGTAGAGACACAAGGAGAGGGAGAAACACAGTGGACTGAAGGACACACACGAAGCCCAGGTTGGTGGCTGTCCATGGGGACACTCCTTCGGCCTTGGGCATGGGGCCAGAGGCGAGAGCTAAAGCAAATTTCGTTGGTCAGCAATGTCTCCTCCCTTTATTCTAAGAATAAAACATTATATGCGAATATAAAAACAAAACAGTAAAAGTTACTTATTCTGAGTGGTCAGAATACGAGTATTTGTTATACCAACCTTCGCATTTCTGTATTTTTTCTTATTTCTCAAAAGGAAGAAAGCCTCGTCCACACAATGTGTTCCGGGCCCTCAGGTGTGGACACTGGGTATTATTTCTGAGTTTCCCCCATTATCCCCACTCTATCTCCCACTGCCCTGACACCTCCAATTGCCAAAGTCGCCCTTATTAGCCCATTACTGAGTTACACACACGCTGTGCTTTCTTTTATGATTAACTATACGGTCATCTATTTCAAGTTCAACAAGCATTTGTCAGATATTGTGCGAACTTTCAGGCATCCCGGGCCGAGTGATCTGTGGTTTCTGGTCCAGCAGGACAGTCAGATGATGTGTGTGCCAAGGAATGACAAGGCACTGGGATTAGTACAGAATAAAAGCATCCTTACTAAATACTGCGTGTGACAAAGGAGGGCATGACTGAGTCAAGAGGACGGCCCTTCTTAGAAGGACAACAAAAGGAGCCAGGAAAGGCTTATACATAAAGAAAAGAAGGGGGGAAATTACAGCCCCAGAACCCCTTTTATATGCCAATTACACGTAAATCTCAACACTCAGCAATCCAATAAGGCAAAAGATGCTGCAAGGGGTTAAGTAACTACTAAAACCAAAGAGCAATTAAATGGCATCTGCAGAGTCTAACTGAGATTTGAACATTCAAAGCTGAGCATGGGGTGGATATCAAGAGGTGGAGTGGGGAGCTCCTGGTACCCACACCTTCACTCTCTTTCCCGGACTGGGATGCCTACTAGCAACAAAAGATCAGGGTGTATGCATCCTGGGGCATCTACTCACTCATCCTAAAATGGGGCCCAAACCCAAGTAATCAGGAGTAATGAGAGCAGACACATGCAGGCTTAATCCTCAACAAGGTCAGCCTGGGACCCACCCCCACATCTGGCCTCCAAGTACAGCCTACCTTCCTCAGGCTGCCTGGCTCTCAAGTAGGGGACACGCCCCTCCCACCTATGGGGACGTGTTCTCCTGGGCCATCCAGGGCCAAGGAGGCAGCTCAGCCCGGGAGAGGGGAGCGGGGGCTGAGAGAGAGGCTCCGAGGACAGCTGAGGGGAAGGCACTGCCCTGGATGCTGCCTAATCCATCCGACATGGGGACACACTGTTCCAGAAACCGGATGACAATTAATAGGAAAAATCTGCTCTCTCAGTGCTGCCAAGCATGTCACAGGGTCTCAGCTGGTGGCGTGCCTCCTCGGCGAGGAGCAGAAATGCCCCATTCTTCCCTTTGGTCAAGGCCCTGATGTCTTCTCAGGTGGAAGGAGAAACAGCTAGGAAGAAGGTTCCTCCCACGATCGGAAAACTTTGCACAAGCAACAGTCTATGCAGGGGCCCCAAAGCCAGGGGCCCGAGGGTTACACCAAGATGGAAGGCTCGGGGCTCACTCAGTGCTTTTCATCCTCCACCTCTGTGAAGCCCTGTCTGGCACAGGGGAGCACGCGCAGATGAAGCATCTCCAATCAAGGTGCCTCCCAGTGGTCTGATCATGCTGAACTCGTGGGGCTTTGGGTCAAACTTCCATCCCCTCTTTATAACTGGTCTGCACACGTATTTCTCCGGGTCAAAATATTTCGTATGATTCAAGAAAACCTGGCTTGCCTCGCTGTGACCTGTTCGGCTTAATCAAGAACAGAAAGAGAGTACAGAGGCAGGGAGCTTCTAAGAAGCCCGTAGTCTGCCCTCCTCTTTTCCATCTTTCTATTTTTCTATAGGTATCTTTTGCTGAGTATCAGCATTCTCAACTTTTGGGGGAGTCACAGGATATTTTGAGAGTGTAACAGAAGAGGGGGACTAGTTCCGTTCCAAACCCCCTGCGACCCCATCGCCACGTACACTCAAACATGTGCATGAGTTCAGGGGACCACAGTCCCTGGAGATCTCATTCTTGTGCCCTCCTTCAGTCCCAGAGTCCCGAGGTCAGGACCCTCACCACAGATACCAGTTCATGTGTAGAAGCTGCAGAAATTCATCTCTGTGGATGCCATACTCTCACCAGAAAGCCCCAACCTGGATCCTAGCTAGCAACCTGCCAGCTTGTTGGACCTTTTCATCATCCTTCCCTACCTACCTCTCGTCTGACACCAGCCATAAAAGGAAACCCCAGAGGGGAAGAGGTCCTGAAATTCAAGTTTCTGCTTGAGAACTGGTACCCAGCCTCCCTGGAGCCATCTGGTCTGATCCATCCCTGGGACTGGGCAGATGGATGCTAATTCACCGTGTTAACCCCTTTTGTGCCACTCCCCCACCCTGAGCCTTGGTGGAAAAGCCTCAGCGCACAGCCCACCCTGGCCATAACGGGCTGAGTCCTCGGCGTTGTGGAAGCTGGCCAGCAGATTCAGCAACCATGTTGATATTGGCATCCGTTCCGGGACCCTGTGTAGAGCTACGTGCGGAAATGCCATTGCACGGGCAACCTCCCAAAGCCAGGGTCCACCGCCCCACATCTAGCCGTGCCGGTACCTTCTCATCCCAAATCCAAGGCAAGTGTGGCAAGAGAGAAACCAAGTTACTCCAACAAGGAGTCCTTTTTCTTACCAACGGCCTTCACAAACTACCCTCACGCAGCAGCCCAGCTATGCGATGCTTCCGGCAATCACGGCAAAACCAGGCAGCCCACAGTCTGGCCCCCGCAGACACCAACACAGCTTCCAATCCATCACTACCAATAATAAGGTGTAGACAGGCGTCTCCACCAGGACCACTTAAGCACACTACCAGACAGGCCCTCCTGGAGAGCGAAGGGAGAATTAAAACAGCATCTTTTGATCAAAAGGAACCACGGTTCCCCCACGAGACCCTTGCAAATGAAAATCCCACCTTACCCTTCATTCCAAATTTGGACCGTCGACCGTACTTGTTGATCATGATGAAGAGAACCACCAACAGGACGCAGGCAAAAGCAGCAAGTCCAACAGCTATGGATACCTGGAGGGGCCAAAAGCAGACGGTTGAGAACAGTCACGGGAAACCCACATGCGCCCAAATGAAAGCAGTCCCACCGCAGGCACAGCTGCAGCCCATTCAGGACTTTGTAAAGACTTGAGTGAAGTCTTTAGAAGCAGTAATTCATGAGACGTTCAGCACATTAAAAGAAAATTAATTCCCCAACTGGATGAGAGAACATTCCATGATTCAGCCTCTCATCTGGGAGCCATCATCTGCAGTGCAAGGGCGGTTTCAAAGGGGTTTGTCTATTGTTTGTTGTCGTTTCTTTTTGTTTTGTTTTTTTTTAAGTTTATTTATTTCGAAAGAGAGAGAGGGAGAGAAAGGAGCACAAGCAGGGAAGGGGCAGAGAGAGAGGTAAAGAGAGAATCCCAAGCAGGCTCCATAATGCCCGCCCAGAATCCAAGGTGGGGCTTGAACTCATGAACTGTGAGATCATAACCTGAGCTGAAATCCAGAGTCAGACACTTAACCGACTGAGCCACTCAGGTGCCCCTGTTTGTTATTTTAATGAACAACAACAAAAAAAAGCAAAAAACAAACAAACAAAAAAACTCTGTACCTTCACACTAACATTCTTTACAGAATATTCTTATCCAGAACGTTCTAGGAGATCTGGACTCTAAAAAAGCCCCCTTTGCTCTCCTCCCCAGAGAAATCTCTGGCTCTGAGAGTCAGGCAGGGGAGGTGGGGGGCTTGAAAAACCCACCCAAGGACACGCTCTGAGCAACTTCGACTTTCGTAGGAGACTTGTGTGGCTAGCGTCCCCTTCAAATCAGGCCCATCCAGGCTCCTAACAGAGCGGGGATTTTCAAACCGTTCTCTTCCGAGCCCTAGGGCCTACAGCGGATCCTCAAAGACTTCCTCAAACAATGACTTATTCTCATCAAACAAGGCAGGTTTCAAACACCTGAAAGGAGGTCATTCATCACAGTTTTGTTCTTTTCTCTGCTGTATACACAGGCTCCAAGCAAGGTAAAACGTCAGCTACTAAAACGAAGTCTGAAAACAACTTCCTTAGTGACCACCTTCCCCTTGATCAAAAAGTGACTCACCCCAAAAGTGTCTTCCTCCGGTTTGTGGGTCACAGTGATGGGCGTGGGGCTCACATCGTAGACTGAAAACCAAACAGAAGAGGAGGAGGAGGTTGGCTCTCACTGGTCTCAGCCACAGTCCCCGCCCGAATTGCAAGGGCCCCTCAGGAGTTCCTGCTGGAGAACACCCCCTTCAAGCCAGACTCTGACTGTCGGACCTCCTCAGGCTTTGCAGGAGTCCCCAGGGACCAGGCCCCTTCGGCTGCCTAGCTGGTGCTGACAGCTCAAGGGCAAACTCTGCAAGGAATAAAGTACCCTCACTGCCATCCCCCTGCCCCCATTCCAGAACAAGTAATGTCACCTGGGCCACGTGGGCCATGAACTATTAGGTACAAAGGGGTAGAAAAAATGGTTTGGGATCCCGGCCAGGGTCTGCATTGGGCACATTTGGTGGTGATGGCAGCTGGTGCTGATGCTCGGCTACCCTCTGTTGTGGGCTCTCCTGCTCCTGTCCCGGGCTCCCCAGTGCCCCTCCCTCTCTCTCTCTCTCTCTCTCTCTCTCTCTCTCTCTTTACTCCTCAGCAAGACCCAGGAGGCCCGTGGCTCCAAGGACAGCCCAGTGTCCGCTCCCCTACCGCAGAGGTCAGGACAATGGCAGCTCAGGGTAAGACGCAAGAAGGTCCACCTGACCAGGAGGCACCACCTTTTCCCAGCAAAGCCTGGACGGGAAGCCAAGTGTCCATTTGTCCTCTGTCTCAAATCACCTCCTGGCCACGAAACGGCCCCGATTCAGAAATCTCTGGAGGGACATTCTGTGAGATGACAAGTCCTCTCAGACCAAGGACAAATAAAGGAATCACAGACGATCTTCACGTCTGTGCCGAACAGTAAGGGGTGCGCTCGGTAGGACTGTCCACTGTCTCAGCCCACACACAGGGCAGAAATGAGTGCCCGCTGCTCTCCCACAGGGGACAAAAGGAAAAGCAATAAATACAGGTTTCCCCACAGCCCATGAGCAAAACACCACATTCTTTTAGGATTGTCTAGTCCTAGCCCCAAACTGCTTATAAACTGAGCCTCGCTAATTCCACTTGAGGACACACAAGCCTATCAGGAGAGCTTGTAAATCACTCACAAGGTGAGTCCCAGCCAGAGTCCGGGGTCCTCAGAGCAGGTGAGGAACACAGGTGCAGAGGCTCCCCGTTCTCTCCACAAGAACAGGGTTGACCAACAGGGGTCTTACCCGGGAATATGAAACCCCACATCCCTCCTTCCCATCCACGCAGGGAGACCCACGACAGGCTCAGGCCTCAGAGAACTCCCTGGGGGAAACTGAGGCCAAGAGCCCAAGAGGTGTGCACCTGGAGCTTCCTAAGAGGTATTTCTACTCTCCGGCTGACCTTCACAATTCACTCAGATGCTCTCAGCTGCCAGGGGTCTGGGGGTGGCCGTGGAATAGGAAAGAGGGCTAGGTGGATTCAGTAATTACTGAAAGTATCAGAATGAATCAGTTCCAAAGCAGAAAGTAAAGCAGACTTACTAGAGACAAAGTTATCCGTGCTCTCTGCAAAAAAGACAAAGAGATAATTAACAAGTGTAATAAAAACCAGAACAGATGCACTCTAGCTTCCTAATAGCTACGACCTCCCCCATTCGCCATGATTCCCCCGTCACCCGGCAACTGAAAACTAAAATCCTTGGCATATCCACCCCTCCTCCACACTACACAACCCCTTCAGGAGGTGGCCTTCCAAGTGGGAAGGAAGGAGAGAGAAAGCTCCTAGCTCCGAGGGAGGTGGCCCGGCCCACCTGAGGCCTATGAGACGGAAAATTAAAACGAGACACAACGTCTCACCCACGATGCTCCGTCCTTCGGGTACCCAGAGTGCTGGGGGTGTTGGTGGTACCTCAGAGCCAAGAAGAAATGCTGCACGGGTGGGCTTCCCCGGACCTTCCCTGAAAATGCCAGCAGCTATGACCCCAAGACTGAATTCCTCAAACTGACACGTGGAGTTTATTCTGGCAGGTCCCGAAGACGTTCCTGGAAATCCCTCTATGACCCTGCCCGACCCCCGGATGAAAATGTGCTACTGGACCTTTGCCTCTAGAAATGGCTCACCTAACAGTGAAAGCTCGTCATTATTAGACATTGATTATGAGCCAGGGGCGGAGCTACATGCTCTATGTCACACATCGCTCGATCCTTACAAGCATCCTAGCAGGTGGAGAGCACTATCCCCATTTAACAGAAACAGAAACAAGCTTACAGAGGTTAAGGAAGGAACAGCATCTCACTCATCCAAGAGGGCACAGAAGGAGCTGAATTCAAATCCAAGTCTGAGCTCGTAACCACTCTATCAGAGATTCTCAAATTCTAGCAGGGAATAGGACCATCTAGGGCGTGAGCACTATCTTTCTCCAATCAAAGGAATGAGGGCTTCCTGGAGAAATGCATCATTTCAGGCCTGGGTCAGAGGAAGCATAAGATGTACCTGGAATATCTCATAGTACTGGAAAGTAAGAAAGTGCTCCAAATTAATGGGGGCACGGGAAAAGAACACAGGACCCAAGGTGAAGGAGCTTCCAATGACCAAATTTGGGACAGTTTAAGCAATAATATAAATAAGGACAGTCATGGATTGTTATGGGCTGAATTATATCCACCCAAAATCCATATGGTTGAGATCCTAATCTCCAGTTCTTCAGAACATGACTGCACGGAGAGACAGGGTCTTTAAAGAGGTAATTAAGTTAAAATAAAGTCATTAAGGTGGAAGCTAATCCAGTACGGCTGGTGTCCTTCTAAGAGAGGATATGAGGACACAGACACACATGGAAGGAAGACCACGTAGAGATACAGAAAGAAAACACCCATCTGCGGGCGCCTGGGGGGCTCAGGCGGGTGAGCGTCCAACTTCGGCTCAGGTCATTATCTCGTGGTTCATGGGTTCAAGCCCTGTGTCGGGCTCTGTGCTGACAGCTCAGAGCCTGGGCCTGCTTCGGATTCTGTGTGTCCCTCTCTCTGTGTGTCCCTCCCCGCTTCGTGCACGGTCTCTGTCTCTCAAAAATAAATAAACGTTAAAAAAAAAATTAAAGAGAAAAAAAGAAGACACCTGTCTGCAAGCCAAGGAAGAGAGAGGCCTCAGATGGCATCAACTTTGTGGACGCCTAACCTCCAGGCTTGGGAGGAAATAAATGTCTCTTGTTTAAGCCGTCCAGTCTGTGATACTCTCTTATGGTAGCCCAAGCAAACTACATGCATCATAAGTCATAGGACAAAATAAATACCCATGAGTCCATACCAATATAAATAAATAACTGAATGAATGGGGAGGAAGAGAAAGCTCTTCCTTACAGTAGAATTCCACTTAATAAATACAGAAGGAATGACGGAATTAGAAAAATTACCACTGACAAATAACCACTGTTAATAACCGTTTCAGGCAAGAACCATCAATGAATGCTAAAATTAATGTGTGAACGCATGATAAGAAACAAGACACTTACAAAGTTTCAAAATATTATACTCGTTTAGTTACAAAGGGAGAAAAAA